CCACACTTTTGATTGTTCATTGGAATTATTCTGACTTTTATTCTCGTTAAGTATCTCGTCTTTATTAAAACTCACTGAACTGTTAAACTAAGTTCCTCTCTAGAGAAATTTTATTGTAATTTATTTGAATTAACATCTGAAATATTAAGGGATTAGAGGAACTTTCGTCTTGAAGGAATAGATAAATAAAATTATATTAATGGAGATTCAATGTAGGTACCAATAATTAAAGTTTATTTGTATAATGAAGACATCCGCATGAATTGAAAATGGAAGCGTCATTGTGTACTTAACGTAACCTGTTGATTAAAAACCTTTTTTATATGAATCAATTTTTCGCTCGTGATAGCTTATTTACTAGTGTTGAGATTATTGTTCAGCTAGGTTTGGCCGCTTTAACAGTAGATGTTGTGCACAGGGCAGGGTATGCTTATGTACCACTTGCCATGGACACTAAACAAATTTCGATTAACCTGGTATTGGGTTTTGTCCGTATTGTTTTTGTGCATTACAGTGTTGGTTGTTTACTGATTGAATTTCATACTGTATGGTCTGTTATAGATGCAAGTATTCTACCCTATTGTTTTTCTGAAATATGGGGGGGGGGGGGTGGATGGCTAAATGGTTAGCGTGCGCGTGCTGTATCATAAAGTCTAGTCATTGAGTCGACTGGCGTGGTTTCGAATCCCTGGTTGTACGTGACAAGGAGTAGGGTCGCCCTCGTGGGCTTTCTCCGAGTCCTCCGGTTTCCTCCCACTGCTAAAGACCCCTATGAGCAAGCGAATTATTGAAATAAAATTAAGCCATATGTTAGTCCCGAAATGACCTAGTTTGTGTCGAGTGGACGTTAAACCCCATTTCTCTCTCTTTTTCTGAAATACAGTAGTTTATGCTGTGTGGGTATTAAGCCCAACCTCGCTCTTTATCTATATTTTGATTTATTTTATCAATAACAAATTCTGACATTTATTTCTTTATAAAGGAATTTAATATATGGAAGACTTGACGAACATTTCAAATTTTAAATGTCAGTAAGTTTTTTTCTTACTTTACAAAGAGAAATACTGATGAAAGCAATTGGATAAGTTACATTAATATTGTTACCCAATATGGTATAGATAAAGAATTCAGTCTGGAATGACAAATTTTAATATAAATTTGATTGTTTTATAAGCTTTGTATGTCCTGTCAGACAAAGGCAATTGATTTATTGTCTCTTGTATGATGAGTTTGGTTGTCATGGCACCTTATCAGTGTAAAAAGAAAATGGTGGGAATTGATGGTCAGGTACCAATATCAGATTACCTGTGTGATGGACAGGTTGAATGAATAATTATAAACTGTATTATTCTCTGTATGTTGATTCCACCTGGTAATTGTGACTTAGTTCCTGTAATTCTTCAATGATTGGACAAAACAAAGCTAATTTAAACTCTTAATACACTGATTACAAACTTGGCTATTATCCATATCTAGTGACTAGAACAATATAAAACCAAATTAATCATGTCGTTAAGACATGGGACTCTAAATGTTCTGGATTTAAATCAAGATGTAAACAGAGAAGAATCTCCAGAATTTTTAAGTACATGTACATAGATGGAAATTGTCAAGTTATTTGGATGATAATGAAATGTAAAAAAAAATTTGTACATATTGGTAATACACATTATCATTTAAACAGTAGGCAAGTGCTGCTACACCGGCAAAATTCTGTCAAAACATTGCTCACATAACCATATAAAATAAACTAAATTTATAAGTCTCAAAATATCTAATATTAGCAAAACAGTTGATTGCCACTGCTCTGGCAAGATATTTGATACATGTTTGATAGCGTAGATTGTGTATTTTTACAGTTACCATGATACATTATTCAAGAGCTAAATCTGCCTAATGCAGATCTTTCATTTAGCCTCAATTGTTATATAACCAACTCTCTAGAACTTCAGATGGTTTTGATTTTAAACAGATTTGAATAAGAATGTCATTATATATTTTAATTTAAAAATGGATAATCAAGACTATCGTAACAACAGTAGCAATGACCATTGAGACTACACTGTTCTACAAACGACGACAACTCCATTCAGAATGAAGTAATTTGACTGAAATTATCAACACATTTCTTTTTCATTATCTATTTATTTTTAGTTTAATTTAAACTTATTTTATTTTGCATCGACATATCATTGTACAATACAAAATCATTAAACAAAAGTTCTAACAACTTATAAACGTCTTCTCCTTAAAAAAATATTAATTGATGAGAATATTTAATATGATAGATACGAAGTTATATTCATTTCATTGAACTAATCATTAATATATTGCATTAGATGCTCAATTTATATAAAATGGAATATTTTAACAAATAATACTTATAACTATTGGCTCTTGTTCTAAATCTTACATAATGCATCTTTAATTGATTATTATTCATTTCCTTTCCTTTCCGTTGGGAAATATGTTGGAGTTTTTTTAGCACTAAAACAAATAGATTATGTAAGTTGTTGTGATCGCTATTAAAATTGATTATTGTCTACTTCCTCTCCTGATCTATAATTCAAATTCTATTATCTTTTTATACTAAGTATACATGTGACATTTTGAGAAAAAAAATCTGGCATATTGCATAAAAATCGATTCTATATTGCCATAAGGTTATTTTGACCCAACTCTGGGACCAGGGCTGTCGTTTTTGATTAATTAGATAAACAGTGATTAGTGATAACTCATAGCTAATTATCTCCAAACCCCTCTAAAGATGTGATAACACATGCTATCATTTCAACAAACATTGATTTTACTGTTAACTTAAGAAAAATAAACAAATTGTCAGCCATTTGTAGAGTTTATCTTTGCCACAAATGTAACATGGCTAATTAAATACACCAGAAGAATTTATGGACCATTGTAGACATTACTTCATGTCTGGTGACTTCTACTGGCACTGACATTTTGCATTTATCAACTTTGGTCACTGAGATTTAATTGTTAGATTAGGGTGCTGTCACCAAAATTGCTATTGTTTAATTACTGGTTATTTATTACAGTGCTAACAGATAAACTCATCTTTGATTACAACACAAATTTTCATCCTTGTAATGCTCGAAACCATTTTGTATTTGGGGGGGGGGGGGCCAGGGCAGAATCTCATGGATTTATTGATTTAAACAGTATTTATTAACCCATACACACAAGATTCAATACATAATAAATTATATGGATTCAGAAACATTGAGTCAGTTTCGATTCCTCACTTTTACGCAACAAGAAGCAGGGTTGCCTGTTCAACCTCGTGTTTTTTCTTCAAGTCCTTCAGTTTAGCACCAACAGCTCCAAACGTGCAATCACATTCTTAAAGTTCAATATAACATTGGTATTGCCAAATTGACCTAGTTTATGTCAAGTGGATGTTAAACCCTGTTCCTCTCTCTCACTCGGAAACAAGTTATAAAGCTTATATTGACCGGTTTCCAATTAATTCGATTAACCCTAACATATTAATCCCATTTGCATTGGACCCTGATAAAGCGCACTGTACCAAGTCAATTTACACTGGTGCCAAAAACATTCTTGTCACAGTTATGTGTGGAACTTGTCACAGAAAAGTTAACTTAAGCCAGCCATAGTCATGTGGGAAATATGGTTTGTCACTTCTAAATGCTTTTACATATGTAAGAGTGCTAGACTTGCTTCCCATTTTTAAGCAGACCTTACTGCGATCCCAGATCAATAACACCTTGCTTCCTTGAGTATGGTTCCACCCGTAAACACCATTAAAGAAATCTTGGAACGTTTCTGGTCTGGACTGTGTACCATTCCATTTTCATAATGTAAATGGGATTTATGAGCATTGTGTTTACAAAATCTGGAGGATCTGTTTCTCCAGCCATGAAAAGTTATAATAGTAATCTACGCCCTACCAGCTGAACATACTCCTAACCTTGGGACAGGTAACAAAGTTATATATAAGCAATGATTATTACAACCCACCAGATGATTATAATAATTAAAGGGGCGTTATGGGAGATTAGATAAAGAGTTGACAGTTCTCATCATAATAGTTAAAAAATAAAGTATTTAGAATATGCTGAAAATTTCAAATTGCCCAACTCTGAACCAAGATATTAGCTTTGGAATTATCCTAGCCTCGATTAACATTATTAAAGTTGCTATGATATCCATTTTTATGTTTAATTTTTCAAAAAATGTATTCCAATCCGCTAAATATCGCAGGCTAGTGATAGGATCGAGAGTTGATTATGGTCTGGATAAGTTAATTAATGTTTAATTATTAATTTCAGGCCTAAAGAAAGACCTGCAATAGGCAGATTTAGCTCTTGCATAATGTATGTTTAAAGGGTGTAACCAAATCCTATTTTTCTACGAGTGACAAGACTTAACAAGTTATTGAAATACACATGCATGTAATTCTTTAACCGGAATCATCACTTGAATCAAGTGTAGTAAATGGAGATCTCGCCACAATCCATCCCCAACCAAGTACCAAGTGTGGAAAGTGAAAGCACTACTAAAGTTAATTTCTTTTCTACATATTTAGTGCCACTTTAGAAAATGATATGAAATAAAAAATGGGTTTTGTCGTCCTACTTTACTGCACCGACTTGGCTAATGACGGCGTGCTATGAAGGAAATTTTGCCCAAACAGCAGTGCTACAGCCTACTCTTTCTAATTCCAACTTTCAAGGGTTCCTTTTCGTGCACTTCAGTGTGTATGTAGATCTCAGTTTTACGCCCCATCCTAGTGACTTGACATTGTTACCTTTCAGGCTTGCCAGGGGAGAACTGGGAAACGTTGAAGACTAACACTAAGAGCGAACCCGAGACCTCCTAGTTAACGACCCTGTGCCTTACTCACTGAGCTGCTGTGGCTATTTTGTGCCACTTCAAAGGATTATACATGTTCATAGTATGAAATGACTTGTTGTCATGACAATATTTTTGTCAGCGACATAGAAACACAACATAAAACATTAAAATAATAACTGTTGTTTTATTGTATTCTATTTTAAATTTAATGCTTTCTGACGTTGTCTTTGTCTTGTGACATACCCTCGGGACTAAAAAGGATTAAAACTGAAAGACATGAAGAAAAACAATATTTCAGCGTATTTCAATTTGAATCAATTGACATTTGGCATCCCTCTTAGTAATTTTTATTTAGTGTTATGGCTGTTCACTGGAGACTAATAAATTTTCATAATGAAAAAAGTTGAACAATTCAGAAATTGAACGAAATATTCTAAAACTGAACAAAACATACAACTTTAAATGATAGCCTTTACCCTTAAGGTTTGTAAATAACAAAAAAGAAAGAATACTGGAATATTATTCAGAAATAACAGCTAATAATATATAATTTATGAGAAATAATATTTACTTTTCTTTCTGTGTCCTCCGGGGAGATGGTGTGCTTGAATATATTTTGAAAGGAGGTACAACAAGTAGGGACATGTCTAAAATCTGAAAGGACGATTTATTTAAAATTACAAGTTTATGCAAATATTTATTAAATCTGCATCTGGTCGATAAATATTGTCTTGTATAACTATAAAATAAATATCTTCATTTTGTACTGACTGCTAAGTAAATTTAACAATAAGCCTTGCGATCTTTGGAAGAATGTTCATTAAATTTATGTGTAAAAGTTCTACACTGTCAAAAGGTAAAATTCTTTTTTACATTTCCACAAAATAAATATTTTTCATTTGTTTTGGATGGTTACTTGGTGTTTTTTTTTTTGTTTAACCTTTGAAATACGCATTTTTTTTACTCCAGAAGAATTTTCAAAAGAATTAAAGTCAATACAGGTCCATTTTCAAATGAAATGAAATGAAATTGGGTTTAACGTACTACTGTTCTGCTAATTTTCAAATGAAGCTCAATATTTTTTATAACAAAATAAATTAGTATATAAAAGTTTCTTAACTTTCAAAAGGCAAAGGTGGTGATAACTTCTATTTTATACAGATGTAACCTTGTTAGAATTGATACTGACGGGAAGTTGACAGGAAAATATGTACAACTTCATCCCATATAAATCCTTCATTATTAGATACTGTTATATGTACACAGGAGAGCATTAAGAAAGTGCCACAAGACAGCCATTTGATTTCCTCTGTTCCCTAGGGGCTAGTGTCAGCCCTTCTCTATTGTTCTACGAGACCTGTCATTTGGCACTTGTTTGTTCACTGGGACTTAAGTGGTTAGTATTGTGGTGTGACAGGTTGCTCATTTTGGTGAGAAACTGGACTGTACATTTCTTCAATTCAGCAGTTTATTGCAGTGTTTTTATTGGGACTATATGGGAATATTTTAAGCACTCTAAAGGTAATAAAACCATTTCTAAATATATCAAAATTTTTATAATGCATGGTTTACAATCCCAATGGAATTTTTATCAAACAAAAATCAACATTTTAACAGAGTTTAACTATCTCTTTGCTTGCTTTGAGTACTAGGGGAAGTTTTGTTTTTCTAAAAGATGTAATGACTATTTGAAATAGCTTTTAGATGATAGAATATTTCCTTGGAGAATCTGTGACAAAATTTCCAAAATAATAATATACTGTTGAAGAGCCAGATGAAGAGAAGCAGTATAATGATGGTAATTTTCAGGAAAGCACCAAGAATAATGATCAGTCAATTCCCTAGAAATGGATCCTATGGAATTATTTGATTTCACACCAATTTCTGTCAAACGGAAACATTTATTGTGTAAAAGGAATGTTTGATTATTGTGCTTGATGATTCACTGAGAGACTTTTCTTGCCGTAACTTGCTTGAAACACACATTCTTTTGAATTTTCTGATTTCCCGACAATTCATTCCATTGATGTGGATTTCTGGAATAAATTTCGACAATTCAATTAGGCAGAGTTAAGATTCCATTGAAAATGAACAAAAAATATTAGTTTTAAGAGAACCAAAAGTGGTTACATCTGCTTCTAAAAAGGATGCTGCCCAAATAAAGCTAACTGTTTATTAATGACAATTTGTTTGCAGACTAGCATGTGTTTAAAGATTTATTTGAAGGCTATTTTCTCAAACTACGCAATATGAGTGCCTCCAGGAATTTTTTTAAAAAATTTGGTGTTTTTACAAGAAATTTACTAAGTGGTTCAATTGATGATCCTGATTTGATTTCTGATCATTATTGAAAGAATCTATTATTTCTACTGTCAGAATAATTTTATGCTATAACCAGGAGACCACCCATGTCTTCATTTTATTCTTTAATGGTGTCACTGAAAGATACTACATATCTTTTTGAAAGCATCTTTCAATTCCATGATTTGTATATGTTCCAATAATGAACTAAGCCTTTTGAAGGCTACATTTATTCCCAAAGATAACTTTAACTACACGTTTTATTTTAAAAGTTTGCTAACTATAAATAAATCTTAATGGCTAATATGTTTACAGTTCTGTTTTATCTTGTATTTCAGAAGTAAATAGTGAAGCTTGTAAATTTTGAGAAACATCTTCCTACATTACCAGGTAGGTAACCATGCATATTAGCAACACAAACATGGTTATAGGGATATATATTTGCATGAACTTGTTCCCATCGTGAAGCTTCTTTGACTGTATTTTCCTTATAGATTAGTTCAGAAAATAAACATATATTTAAATCTGGATCAGCAAGCTTTTGTTTAGATTAGTTTTAAGGATAGTCTGATCATCAGCTTTAGTTTCCCTTATTCTAACTTCATTAAGAAACTTCTCCATGTCTTTCCAAAGACATGGCCATTATTGATAAAATTGGTCACTGTAAATGGTCCACCATAAACTAAACAAGGCTAATCTGATCTAGTGGAGTAATTGGATTAAGATTATTGGATTAATCAACTGAGTTTGGTCAGGTACTTATAGTAATGATCAAGTAAATTGATTGTGATACAAGGTTAGTGATAAGGCAGTGGAAAGGTTTTTAAGTTTGAATAAATGAGCAATGCTTTTGAAAGGAGTGTTTTCCTAGATTCCTTCTATTTTGATTGAAGTTTAGATTATTGGCTCACGATTGAATGCTCTAATCAAGTCGTTATTTTTTAATTAATAGGATTTATAAAGGTTTATATTGAAGGTCTACCGTTTTAATTGAGGTGTCTTTTCGTTGAAAAGATTGAAATTTAATCCTACAAATAAATTTACTTTACTTCTTGATAATCAAATCAAAATTTTAATGAAACTAAATCTAGAAAATTAAGAACCCTGGATAATCCAGTTAAAATTTGAATGAAATTAAATCTCAAATACTAGGAAACCCTGTGGGTGAATTAAAAGCATATTTATAATACTTTTTGTGTTAATAAAAATCTTAAAACTAAGAATCTTAACATTAAACAAAAACAGTTCATGATCTCAAAATTAATAACCCACAACCAAAATGATTAATAATGTAAGACCATTACCATTAAATAACTGCTTAAAACACAAAGGCCAATAACCTGATAAACAATAAGATATCTTTTATTTATGGCTATTCTATGAGAAATATTGAATTTCTTCAGCTGGAGACCATTTAATGTTTCCAAGTTGTTACAAAGTCATATAAAACTGGTTGGAACCATATGTTGAATGCCCTGTAATGGAGGCTAATTAACAGCTAATAAAATTAATGAGAGGACTAATTCAGCAGGCTGTCAACGAACATCTGTGAAGATTCAATCTGTAGGGAATATTTTCTTCAGGTGCAACAATCCATCTTAAGCAAACTCATTATAAAAATAAACAGATTAAGTAAATTTAAACTGGAAATTTTAAATTTCTATGCATTTAATGTCATCTTATTTTAGTTTGAAAAAATGTCTGTGTCTTCAGTATCAAAACTTTCATAACCAATTTGTAGTATTGGTAATAAGATTTCTTGGCATTCAGATGAATCCAATTCGTATAATGGTAGGAATAACTAAGTCGGGCACTTACATTGGAAACACCAGCTCAAATTAGTGCCATTATCTATTTTTGATTGAAAGTTGGGTGTTCTAAAAAAAATAGTCTTTCGTGTGCCCCATCAAAAAGTACAAATAATCACCTCTTTCTTTGGGGAAACTGATAAATTTTCATCTGATTTGCAACAAAAGAATATTCTTTACAATATCTGCAAGGCAAGAAATTGGTTATTTTTTTTATTATGAAGTTGCTGCTGTTGTCCTGGAAACATTATCATGCAATATGAATTGCATCTGGGAGTAACTCTTCCTTATCTTTAATACCCAACTGTATTGAGAACAAATATGGTTGGTTTTGAAGATCATCAGATTGCAGAAACAGTTTCCATTTATTTTCAATATTAATTGAATGAATGTTATCTTTAACAATCTGTTTTGAAACACTTCAATGACAGATTTTTTTTTTTAACTTTATCAGAAATCTGGAACCATCAGAATCATTCTGTTTAATCAAACCATTTGTAAATGACTTCATTAAGAGCTTTACAGAAACCCTAAGCATTGAAAAGATTTGACGCCCCTATGTAATTCTAAATGAATATGATGCTAAACAGTAAGATATTTATCTTTCGAAATCAAACAGGACTTGAATGAATAATGAAATTAAAATAAACTATTTCTAAATTTTTTGATCGCAAATTCATATCTAATTGAAAGCTTTTCTGGCACTGTTAAAAAAGGGTCTATTGTGTCCCCTTCCCTTGCTGCCTTCAGTACCTGTACTGTAAGTAGTATTAGATGTTGAGCATAAGACAGAGTATACTTTTTGAAGAAACCCTCATATCACTTTTCGTTTGCACTTTTATTGTATTTATGTTAAGACCTTGAATTTTGATCATCCATTTCATTAGATTAAATAATCTGAACAAAGGGCTCGATGCTGACACAGGTGATCAAGTGGGCAGTTACTATAAAAATAACCTCATAAAAAATATATTAACCATATAATTTTTGGCAGACAGCTTTATTACTGTCAAAACAGTGTCTAATCCCCTAATCCAATTACCAGGGTCTTAAATGTAAATAATATTAACTCTTGGCTACCTATAATTGGTTAATCACCATCTCTGGCTGATTGTGTATTGGTCAATAAGTGGGTTGTTATTGAGTAATAGACCCAAGAGAGCTTCCATATGCCACTGTATAAGCTAGTGTATATTGTGTGTGTATATTCTACAGTTTCTTATGTATTATTACCTATGTATCAAAACAGATATTGAGTAGTTTGTGAATTTTTATAGCAGAGAAAAGAAGTGAGTATTTATTTGTATACTTTCTGTCTGATTGTTTTTCATTTTAGTAACTTGTAGTTATTAAATGTTAAAAAAAATATTAATTGCCATTAAAGACAAGTTTAAACATACATTATGCAAGAGCTAAATCTGTCTATTGCAGGTCTTTCTTTAGGCCTGAAATGTTATCTAAATTATTAAATAAACATTAATTAACCTATCCAGACCATATCAACTCTAGATTGTTATGCTAGCCTTTACTGCATGACTTTCCTTC